CGCTGACCTGCTGATCTAGCAGTAGCCTGCAGTGCTGCATTTAACCACTGCGCCACCTTGGCTCTCATCAGAGCCTTCCCCAAACTCCAGGACTTGCCCAGGTTCCTCCCCAACCTCCTCACTGTCCGAATCTGCTGGGCTTCTGGCGGGCCACAACATCAGCAAGGCAACCTTGGCCACCCTTCTCTTCCCACCCTTACCCACCCAGGCTTCATGGAGAAGACCTCCATGGCCACCAAGAGAAGACTTCGCCCATGTTCAAATTAGAACCAAGGAGAACCACAAGTTTGCAAAGCGGAATGTTTTTTTTTTTATTAAGAAAGAACATTGGAAGAAGCCACCAAGGATTCCAAAACATGTACAAGGAAATGAACATCTCACTTTTAGGCATCTGATTGTGGAGGTGTCGAGAGGAGATGGGGCCCTAGATGTTTGGAGAGCGTCGTTCATTCAAAACTTCATGTGAAGCCACTTGGCAGAGGGCTAATTTCACAGGAACGCACAGTGCTAATGGTTATTGGAATACCAAAGAAGGATACAAGGGGTGGGGTAACTTTAGAGTAGATGGAAGAGAACGGCGAAAGCTTAATGCAGACCCGCAGAGGGCACAGGCACACCTTAGCCAACCTTCTGAAATCCGTTTTGGTCAGGGAGAGTCCGAGTTAACTTAACAAGGGAGGTTGCAGGGCAGAGAGCAGAGGCTGCCACGGCGACCGAGACGCCCCAGGCGGCCTCCGTAGTAGCCGCCGTAACGTCCGAAGCCTCCAGAAGCACATGGGGTGTGGCCTCCAACAGCAACGGGCTCACAGCTGGCGGACAGGATGGGACCAGGGATGGTGACCACGACTGGAGGGGGCTGGATGGTCACCTCGGATGGTGGGATCTGGTTGATGCAATTGGGGATGACTCCGGCCAGGGTGCCCAGGCTTCCGGAGGTTTCAGCCAGGGCGCCAGCTCCATAGCCATATCCTCTGTAGCCGTATCCCCAAGGTCCACATCCAGTTGACCCAAGTCCGACGACTGGGGCGGAAGCGCAGGATGGGACGGCACAAGAAGGTGCACAGTAAGGCATGTCTGGTGATAGGACTGCAAGAAGAAGGGGACAGTGTTGATGCACGACAACCAAGGCTGAACCAAAGGAATGTAGAAGAACATAGTTATGGTCTCTCATCCAGCAGAGGTTGATGGTTTCCAAAGCCAAGAAAATTAGGGATCTTCTGAATTATCCATTTGGTTTAATCTCAATGATCTGTCAACATTTGAAGCTCTTTTGGTGTTACACCAGAGCATCCGTTTTCCGGACCCAATGTTCTAAGATGTCAACGTTCCCCAAGTCTACTTGGCACAGGAATATCCAACTCCTCCAAAGTCTAATTGGTCTACTAGACCAACCTTAGATGTTCTCCAATATTTACATATTATTATATTTTCATTCGCTGAGTTTTGCAGCACATCTACACCATCAAAATCCCCCATGTTAGAAACCTAATGCAAAAATAGCAGTAGCAACTGAAACATCTCCCATCTTGAGTTCTGAACTACCCCAAAAATGGAGGCGTTGGGTTGGGTTTGAGGAACATTAAGAAGCAATGGCATTTGTAAATTTTAAGGAATAATTAGGCTCACTGAGGTCTGAAAAAAATATACTATGATGAAAAAAACATAGTGTTAATGAAAAGGAGGAGTAGGGGTGACCTGATAGCAGCGTTCCAATATCTAAGGGGTTGTCATAAAAAAGAGGAGGTCAACCTCTTCTCCAAACCACCAGAAGAAGAAACCTGGAGTCAAGGAGAACCTTCCTAAGAATGAGGACAATTAACCAGTGGAACGGCTTCCCTCCAGAAGTTATGAATGCTCCAACACTGGAGGTTTTTAAGAAGAGATTGGACAATCACTGGTCTGAATTGGTTTAGGGTCTCCTGCTTGAGCAGAAGGTTGGACTAGAAGACCTCCAAGGTCCTTTACAACTCTGTTATTCTGATAGCTGTAATTTAAATAGTTGTCCAGGCTGAGCTCAGCTCCTGGTGGCTACATGGCCAGAATTGCATCGTATTCATGACTTTTCTCCTGAGTGTCATTCCAACTTTCCAACTTTCTACAGATTTCATGGGGTCCCACCATAGATTCCCTGACTTCACCCTGTTTAGCCTTTCGAGCAAATTCAGAACAGACAGGTGCTAACTACCCAAGTCTTGAGTATTCCAGAACGGTTTCCTACAAAGGTACAATGAGAGATCGGCTTACCTGTTCCTCTGAGGAGAAGGAGAAGGCAAGAGAAGATGCGATGTGAAGCTGTTGGAGATCCTATGAAGACCAGGTCTTTTTATACTCTCTTCCTGGCCCTCCTGGTGAGCGGACAAGAATGCTTTTGACTCGCTAATGGGTAATTAATCAACATTAAAATCTGCTGTTCCTGTCCTTTGGAAAAAATTACTTGGAAACCCAGAAGGCATTCTGTGGAAAAAGGATTTTGCTGTTGTCAGCACAGGAGGTCACAAATGGCCTGAAACCTGTTAGAATACTTCCTTCCTTGCTTTCCTTCTTTTATTTTCCACAGAAGCTTGCAACATTCAAGGTGGGAAGACGAACGCAGGGAGAAGGTTGAGCGTTGCAAAACCGGAGGCTTTCAAGAAGAGACTGGACTGCCATCTGTCAGAAATGGTGTAGGGTCTCCTGCTTGGGCAGGGGGGATTGGACTAGATGGCCTACAAGGTCACCTTCCGACTCTGTTCATCGGTAATATTTCTGTAATAAGGGGAGAAATTTATTTCAGTTGAATCCGAAAGCTCACCAACCATGGGATTGAGTCCTCTTATTTATCGTCCCTCGTGTATCGCATGTAGCCTCCTTAGTTTTGACCATGGTTTATTGAACAAGCCGCAGCAGGTTCTCAGCTGCCTGCCTGATTTTGAGTCAGCTAGGGTGTCACGCTTGAAAGGACGTTGTAGAATTGTCAAGTGGACGAAGCTTTGGAGGCCCACCACCAGCAAGGACCATGTAGAAGCAGATAGGTCAATGTTCACATGTATTATGGAGTGCTGATCCTTTGCTTTTTTGGAGATCCATATCCATGAAGGTCCATGTTTCTTTGGCGTTGTACCCCAATATAAAGAGTCCCATTTGGAGGGTTCATTTGAATGAGGTGGAACTCTCTCTGAAGTCATATTCACACAACAGACTCCACCTAAAATAGGGTTGTCTAGGTCAGGGGGCAGCAATCCACAGCTCTGGAGCCACATGTGGCTCTTTCATCTCTCTGCTGCGGCTCCCTGACGCTCAAAATATGTGTCACAACCGCCGACACATGACATATTGAGTTTTTCAAACCCCGATAGGCCAACCATGGTTAAATCCGAGAAAAGAAAATTTCCAGAAGAAAAACAGAATGTTTAATTCAACTACATATGCTAGTTTTGTTGCCGCTCAGGAAATAATCAGGCACGGGAAGGTTTCTGTGGCTCCCGGTGTTTTCTTTTCAGTGGGAAATGGGTCCCAGTGGCTCTTTGAGTGTTTAAGGTTGGTGACTCCTAGCCTAGGTTTTGATTCTAAGTGATGAACAAACTTAGATCCCCCCGATTGACCAATCAATTTTCAGAGCATGTGAACCCCAACAATTGGGACCTAGTCCATAGATCAGGGTCAAAGGAATCATGGTTTGACGGAATGAGTTTTTAACCATAACGATATGGGATGCCGTGTTTCACCAATGATCGTGCAAGTACATTCATGTAGAATCCTGGTCTGATACGAGAAGGGAGGTGGAACCATTACTCCAAACCAACCAGCTCCATTCACACAATCATAGGTTTTCTGAGTGCTGACAATACATACGCCCCAGGGGTGGGTTCCGGATTCTTCTACTAACGATTCGTTCAGGGACGCTAGCGCTTCGGACACGCTACATGTGCATGCAGAATACATGTGCGTGCAGAAACAAAAAAAAATGAGAGCTGGACATCCAGCCTCTTCTCAAAAGTCTCCAGAGGTGGAGAACCCACAAAGGAAATGTGTCAGCATTCCCAGTGATGCACTCACAGGAAACAAAATGTTTTATTGGTGTACAGAACTGGGCATGAAAATTCTAGATGGCCGGATTTATACATTTTTTTACTTCCATGGCAAAGAATTCCTGACTATCTTCCCTACAACATTCCTTTATGAAGCTGAGCACTGATTTTTGTAGCACCTGACAGAAGGGCATCTAACTGGTTATTCATGTGGTTCAAGTGGCATCAAGAAATACAGGCTCAAAAAAAATATGCAAAGGATTGCCATGTCAGTCCAAGCTGGAAGTTCTTGAGAAGGAAGGGTCTTCTCACGGATGTCCTCCTTGGTGGTAGGACCTTTCCAAAGCCATGCTTTAGCTTGTAGAAGACCTTGAGAAGAGGGTGAAGAAGGTTCATTCTCTGAGGTTGTGGGTCAGTTTCCAAACATCTCATTACCAAGCCAGGTAACATCTTCAGCAGAGTTTAGGGCAGGGGTCAACAACCCACGGCTCTGGAGCAGCATGTGGCTCTTTCATCCCACTGCTGTGGCTCCCTGTCGCTGGTCAGATCCACAATTGAAAGGACAGAAAAAGGATGCCGCGCTAGGAATAGACTCTTTGATGGAGGAACCAGACTTCCGGTCAGCTCTTGAATTGAATGGGGGGCTTCCGGTCTGGACCTCTGTGGCTCTTTGCGTGTTTAAGGTTGTTGACCCCTGGTTTAGGAGACGCCTTCTTCTGTTTATCAGGGCTTCAGATGTGAATGTGTCAAGTGAGGGAGTTGTGATAGATCAGCTGTGAGTCATCAATGAGTCTTGTGATGTGGCTTGTGATAAGGAGGTTACATCAGGTCAGGTCATTGGGAGATGAACCGCTGGTGGGGAAGGGTCCTCCATGGGTTGGTTGAGGGTTGGGTGGTCCCTGGTTGATTTGGATTCTGGGAGGCTCATAGGCTAGTTGTAGGTCCATGTGTCCCTTGATGGAATTGCTTGTGGAGTGCCAGCTTTCAATGAAACCGTGAGTGTAGTGGGTGGTAGCGTGGCTGGTGGTTTTTGTGTTGCTCACAAGACCCTCCCTTGACACAACTACCAGCCTTTATAAACCAAAGAACACTGGCCTCCCCTAACCTCCACTGAAGAGGTTTACCCAGCCTGGTGAGGAAACATTCAGAAACCAACCCACGATAGCACTTAGCAATAGCACTTAGATTTATATGTTGCTTCACAGTGCTTTTACAGCCTTCTCTAAGCAGTTCGGGACACGGTGGCTCAATGGCTAAGACGTTAAGCATGTCAATCAGAAAGGTCGGGCAGTTTGGCGGTTCAAATCCCCAGCGGCGTGTGACAGTGTTCTGCCAACCTAGCAGTTCGAAAGCAGGTAAAAAATGCAAGTAGAAAAATAGGGACCACCTTTGGTGGGAAGGGAACAGTGTTCCGTGCACCTTCGGCATTGAGTCATGCCGGCCACATGACCACAGAGACGTCTTCGGACAGCGCTGGCTCTTTGGCTTTGAAACGGAGATGAGCACCGCCCCCTGGAGTCAGGAACGACTGGCACAGATGTACGAGGGGAATCTTTACCTAAGTATTTCAGAAGCTTGAAAAACAAACCTTCATCTTACACACAACTTCCAGATATTCGCCACTATTGCAAACCTCAGAGCTAGCTTTCTGGGCTCCTGTCAGGAAAAACTAGCCAGCCTTAATTTTTTTTCCCTTTCGGGGAAATGAATCCTACCCATGATTAATCCGATAATGTGACTTCCCACAGTGAGAACTCACAGTCAGCACCACTTGAGTAAATTGGCAAATACTTTGTGGTGGGAACCATCTGCCTCCTTTGAAGTCCTGCATTTCCTTTTGGGTGTTGCTAGATTTTTTTTTACTATTACTATTTATTTCCTGGTGGTGGAACAGCCTTAAACGGTTTTCCAGAAGTGTTGATACAACCGAAATTAATCTTAAGTGCTTTGACCCCTGTAGCAACCTGACCTCTGTTTCAGGTAGCATCGCGGCAGTAATTAAAGGTGATGGACTTGTTGTGTAATTATCTACTCGTAAAGGAAATGGGCATGAACATATTTTTTA